TTTGCTTCACTGGCACCACTGAGACTTCGGCCGCTAGTGATATTGCGGGGAAGAGTAACGTGTGGTTCTCCGATATGATGGAGTCCGCAGTCGAGGCTGCTCGCAAGATGAATGAGGATGGTTGCAACTTGGTTATCATCCTCACTCATCAGCGTGAGGGTTATGATGTCCTCTTATGGAGGAAGGCTGTTGTGGAAGAGGGTATCAAGATCGATGCTATCATTGGTGCCCATGATCACTTCCCTGCTTTCTTGAATCTTCAACACCCCACTAAGCCTGATATTATAACTCCTGTGTGGAAGATGGGTATGGATGCTCAAATCCTCGGCAAGTTCGTATTTGACTTTGATGATCAACATCCTAATGGTAAACTCCGCTTCGCTCATGCCATTCCGGTGTTGGATGGTCAGTGTGATCAGCACTTCATCGGTACGGACAATGAGGAGTGGTGGAACAATAACGTGATGCAGACCTGGTCACACTGGGTACAGCCTATCAAGCCTCTCCAGGATACTAACATAAGCAATTTGTTATTTGCTGGTTTGTACGACACTGCGGATATCCGCTCTGCCGAGTCCCGTGCTGGTAACATGCTGGCTGATCTATTCCTACGTAACATTTCAGCTCATTTTGCGGCTCTCAGCGGTGGTAATTTTCGTTATGGTTTGAGTCAGAACTTCACAAAGCGCCTTCCCCTCGCTGCATTGGGTTTGTTTGAAGAGAATCCTTTCCTCGATGGTATGGTCTCCTACGACATATCCTTAATGGAGGTCTTTGGCTATGTGATCTATTCGGCTCCAATCGCCATGGGCGGTCCTAATGCGCCGCGTCCGGTCACCTCTGGTTTCGAGATCGAGATGGATCCTACCTCTACTCAACATGGTGGTGTGAAGTTCATCCGTTTCACTGGTACGAGTCATATGGCTGGTATTGTCAACCGTACCCAGACTGAATGTGGTCATCCGACTTTGAAGTGTGGTGAGATTATTTGGAATGCTGAGGAGGTTGGAAAGTCGATCCCTTCACTATGGTCGTCGTCACTGTTCCTGCGTACAATGCGAGATACTCTCCGA